TTATGTCACATCAGAGGGAAATTGAGAAAAAAGGTTTGGGTAAATACCTCAGACATTATATTGGTTGGTCTGCGAGACTACCAGGATAATAAAGCTGATGTAATTTTAAAATACAATGCAGATGAGGCTAGAAGTCTGAAGGCATATGGCGAACTTACAGAACATGCTAACGTCAATGAAACTGATACATTTGGCCCTGGAGATGATGATGAAATCCAATTTGATGACATTGGAGATGAAGATGAAGACATTGATGACATCTAAATTGAACTCAACCAAATTTTACATTCCAGTTTCTCTGAGGATATTTGAACAATTTGGATTTTGGCTGCGGCCTATTAAAGAAGATTAAAATTTCATTAGCATGAGTGTAATTTGTTAAAGCAAACTGATTTGTTTCTAAGGTATTTCTTTAAAAACTGGTAATGCTGGATTCTCTTAAGTGAAACGTTAAGCCCACTTTGTTCTTTTGATGTAATGGAGCTTATGGGTAAAAGACCACATCTATTTTAAAAAAGAGGAAAAAAATGCAGTACTATTTTTCCCATTTTGACCACTTCCACTAAGTAAATGGATGTTTTGAATAAATCATTTGCCTTACAAAAAAAAAAAGACATCTGTCCTGCGCTATGAATTCATCTACAAAACAGAAACAGACTCACAGACTTGGTAAACAATCTTATGGTTACAGGGGAAAGGGGGTGGGAGGGGATAAATTTGGGAGTTTGAGATTTACAAATGTTAGTCACTATATATAAAAATAGATTTAAAAAAAGTTTCTTTTGTATAGCGCAGGGAACAATGTTCAATATCTTGTAATAACCTTTAATAGAAAAAGATATGAAAACAAATATATGGATGTATATGCATGACTGAGACATTGTGTTGTACACTAGAGACTGACACATTGTAACTGACTGTCAATAAAAAAAATAAAATTAAATAAAAGACATCTGTCCTGAATTAGACAACTTCAGATGCCCCTCCCCACATTTCCAACTCCTCTCTAACTCAGTTGTCGGAGGTAGTCAAACCAGGTGGTGCTGGGGCTGGGAGTGTTGTTCAAGATACAGCTTATGGGACTCATTTTTGGCACCATTCTTATTCACCATAGTACTAGATCTAACCACTAAAGAAAGAAAAAAAAATGATAGAGAATAAGGGAAAAGAAGATCAACATGCAAAAATCATTGTATTTCTATATACTAACAACAAATAATTGGGAATTGAAATTTAAAAATGCTCCAAATGCTCATTTACAACTGCTCCAAAGAAAAGTCTTGGTTATAAATCTAACGAAAACATGTATAGCGTATACATAGAGAAAATTATAGAATCTGATGAAAGAAGTCAGAGATCTAAATACTTGCAAAACATACTAGGTTCATGAATTGAAAGACTCGATAAAGCTGTCAGTTCCATTGATTCATCCATAAGTCTACCACAGTCTTCAACTCCAGCAACTTTTTTAATAGATATAGGCAAACTTATTCTAAAATTTATATGGAAAGAGAAAAGCTCTAAAATAGCCAAAATAATTTTGAGAAAGAAGCTATAATAATAAAGACTGGTGGGGAGGTAGACACATTGATCAATGGAAGAGAATAGACAACACAGAAATAAATCCACACAAATATGCCTAATTAATTTTTCACAAAGTAGCAAAAGCAATCCAGTGGAGGATTCATTTTCAATAAATGGTGCTGAAGGAATTGAATACCCATTGGCAAAAAAAATAAGCCTCCATTCAAACTTCACACCTTTATAAAAATTAATTCAAATATATGTATATCTTCTAGAAAAATCTTTGGGACCTGGGACAAGACAAAAAACAAAACAAAAACAAAACAAAAAACCTTGAACTTGACACCAAAATCATAAACCATAAAAGGAAAAAATGGTAAATCAAATCTCATAAAAATGTAAAACTTGGTCTGTAAAAGTTCCTGCGAAAAGGATGAAAAGAGAGAAAAATATTTACAAACTACATATCTGACAAAGAACTAATATCTAGAATACATGAAGAATTCTCAAAAACCTATGTTAAAAAAGCAAACAATCAAATTAGAAAATGGGCAAAAGATATTAACAAACATTTAGTGAAGAAGATATAGATAGCAAGGAAGGACCTGAAAAGATACTCAACGTTACACAGTGTTAGAGGAATTCAAATTAAAACGACAATAAGCTGTCACTATATACCTATCAGAAAGGCTAAAATGAAAAATAGTAATAACACTAAATATTAGTGAGGATGCAGGGAAACTGAATCACTTGCACACTGTTGGTGAGACTGTTAAACGGTACAGTTACTCTAGGAAATAGTTTGGAACTTCCTTTCAAAACTGAAAAATGGGATTACTGTATGACCAGC